AGGGCGGGGGAAGGTAGAATCACCACTGAATGATTTCCAATCGTGCCCAGGCCAGCTGAAACAACTCCACCCATGACATTTGTTGTTGTTGTTGTTGTGATGTGCCGTGGAGTCGGTTCCGACTCATAGCGACCCTGTACAGGGTTTCTGAGGCTATAAATCTTTACAGGAGCAGAAAGCCTCATCTTTCTCCCGCGGAACAGCTGGTAGTTTCAAACTGCTGACCATGAGGTTTGCAGCCCGATTTGTACACAGGGGCAAAATGATGTGCCTAATTTACTGCACCAATAGACTCTCAAACACAACTACAAAATGCATGAACAGGAGACAAAAGACTTTATCGGATGAGTATAAACAGAAGCCTATAGACTGGGACGGTAAAGTGGAGGGCCCACACAAAACAGAAAGACCCAACAAGATGGACTGACAAAGTGGTAGCAACAATGGGCTCAGACATAAGCACTGTGAGGACGGCACAGGACTGGGCACTGCTTCATTCTGTTGTGCATATGGTTGCTATGAGCCATAGCTGACTTGACAATACCCAATGCTGTGCATCAGAACTGGACTGCTAACTGCAAGGTTGGTGGTTCAAACCCACCAGCTGCTCCTTAGGAAGCCTATACAGAGTCTCTATGAGTTAGAACCAACTAGCTGACATGTAATAGCAAGAGAGACTCGGAAAAAACCCTAGGGAATAACATATTCAGTAAGGGTCTAAACTCTAAAATATATACAAAACTTCAGTAATTCAACAACAAAAAGACAAATAACCCAATTTAAAAACAGGCAAAAAGCAAGAGCAGATACTTTGCCAAAAAGGACTCTTAACTGCCAACAGACCTAAGATGCTCTCCATCACTGGTCCTCACCCACCCGCAGCCAGGGAGTTGATTCCAACTGCCAGAGCTCCTGTCCTGTGCAGGGCCTCTGAGGCTGTTAAGCCTTCCCACAGAGTAGCTGCTAGGTTTGAGCTGCTGACCTTGAATACAGTAGTTCAATTCTCACTCTTATGCTGCCAGGGAGTCAATTTTGACTCAGAGAGAACCTGATACGGTTTCCAAGGCTACAGATCTCTACGGGAGCAGAAGTCTCATCTTTTTCTTGAAGAAGCTCTGTTAAGTTTGAACCACTAACCTTGTAAGTCCAGTGCTTATCCTACAGTGCCACACCAGGATTTCTCATTAGCCATTGGTGGTGGTGGTTGTGTGCCACCAAGCTGTTCCGATTCACAGCAACCCTACACAGGATTTACAAGGCAGTAAATCTTTACGGAAGGAGAAAACCTCATCTTTTTCCCACAGAGCAACCAGTAGATTCAAACTACTGACCTTGTGGTTGGTTAGCAGCCCAGCTCCTAATCTACTACACCACCAGGGCACCTTCATTATCCATTGTTGTTGTTGTTGTTGTGAAGTGCCATCAAGTCACTTCTGACTCACAGAGACCTGCATAGGGTTTCCAAGGAGCAGCTGGTGGGTTTGAACTGCTGACCCTGTGGCTTGCAGTCCAGTGCTGATCCTACAGCGCCACACCAGGAAATGCAAATCAAAACTACAATGAATACTTATTCAAATGGCACACACACACAAAAAAAACTAACCAACAGAAAACAACAAATCCTGGTGTGGTTTTAGGAGACTGGATCCCTTATTCACTACTGTAAGGACTGTAAAATGGTACAGCTACCATGGAAAATGGTATGTGGTGTCTCCTCAAAAAGTTAGAAGTAGAAATACTTTGGGGTCCAGCAATCCCACTTTTAGGGATATACCCTAGAGATCTAACAGCAGGACCACAAATAAAAATATGCACACCTATATTCATCACTAAAGGAGGAGCTCTGGTAGCGTAGTGGTTACGAATCGGACTGCGAACCTTAAGGCCAGCAGTTCGAAACTACCAGGCGCTCCGCGGGAGAAAGATGAGGCATTCTGCTCCCGTAAAGATTTACAGCCTCGGAAACCCTGTACAGGGTTCGCTATGGGTCGAAAACGACTCGACGGCATTTAACAACAACAACAATATTCATCACTAAGGAGCTCTGGTAGCATAGTGGTTACGAATCGGGCTGTGAACAGTTCGAAACTACCAGCTGTTCCACGGGAGAAAGATGAGGCTATCTGCTCCCGTAAAGGTTTACAGCCTCAGAAGCCCTGTACAAGGTCGCTATGAGTCGGAACCGACTCCACGGCACATAACAACAACAAATGTTCATCACTACTTTATATAAAATAGTAAAAAAATGGAAGTAACCTAACTGCCCACCAATGGATGAAAGGATAAAAAAAAATGTGGTACATACGAGGTTAAGTAAAAAAGTACTGCTATAAAATCTAAGAAACCCTATCATATGAAAATATCACAATGTGTAGCTCTTGTTTCTCAGCAGCTCCTCCATCTAGGTGTACAGACTTCTAACAGCAGTGTCTCCAGCTCGCAAGCCTTCCACAGAGAATCCTGTGCTCACCTCATGCCGCTGAGTGCCTGTACAGGATTCCAAGGCTGCAAGTCTTTGCAGGAGCACACAGCCTCATCATTCTCCCAAGCAGCAGCTGGTGGACTTGAGCCAGCAACCTTGAGGTCTGCAGTCCAGTGCTTATCCTACAGGGTCGTGAAGCTCTGACATCAGACCTCATTTACATCCCACCACAGGGTGCAGTTTGGGTATCCTCAAGGGTCTCAGACAGTCTGAAGCAGCAAGATGAGGGCTATAGGGCAACCTTTTGAAATTTTCCCAAGGGAATTCTCTTATGGTAGCCCTCACAGGAGAAGACTAAGCAAGTGCTTTGTCAAGACAGAAAAAATCCCCTGGCCTTTGTCTCACCAATGCAGTTTTCTACTCTCTTCAAAGTGCTTCCCAATAAGCCATCATGATCGCCTTGTGCCCTTGGAGAAAATCTATTATGATTATCTCTTGGGAATCCCCCAAAATAGCTGCCATAACCTTCTACACTGACCTCTCTGCGTTGACTTTAACTGGCCTACCAGATCACCTCAGAATCCAGTTTTGATTGGGCCGTTTTTGAAGACACCCTGATGAGACTGAAACAAGTGTGTCCCTGAGAGAGCTTCTCTGCAGCCATCCACTGATTCAGAGACATGTTCAAACATATTTTGTTTGGAAAAAAACCACACGTGTATGAAGTGGTATCCTAGTAGCAAGACTTTTGGACTGATCTGCATCACACAATGGAATACCACACAGCCGTAAGAATAATGGTGTTGTTGCTGAGTGCCGTTGAGTCAGTTCCGACTTATAACAACCCTGTACAGAGTTGCCCAGGAGCGGCCGGGGAGGCTGAACTGCCAATCTTGCGGTTCAAATTGACCATGCAGTCCAGCGCATTAACCCGCAGAGCCACACTCAGAGTACTGATGAATTCTTGAAAATCTCATCATGTGGATTATCTAGAGGACAGTATGCTGAGTGAACTCAGGCAGTCACAGATCGACAGGCACTCTGTGATCATAGTTCTGTGAGACAAAACTGTTACTCAGAGACCAATGCATGTGCTCACTACCAGGGACGGGGGAGCTGGGAGGGAAGTACCCTCAAAATAGAGGACAACTATGAATCTTGGATGGGAAAGATAGAATCAAATATGGGTGATGTGCACACAAACTGACCAAGGTCAATAATGTCATGTACAAGAGAAAAGGATGTTTTCAGCAATTGATAAGACAAATAAATTTGGAAACAAAACCAACAATAACCAAAAAAATAGGTATATGGTTACACACTGTAGACAGAGGCATCTAAGTATGTGAGTATGAATGTCTGGGTACATATACACACAGAGCGAAGCGTCTATGAGTACATGTACATACAGATACATGTGTGGATGTGTATCCACATACATCCTAAGTCACGTAGGGGACACAGGTACAGACACTTCTTCAACAAAAGCAAACACCTCACTAGACTGGTTTGGGAGTTCAATGACTTTGGACCATAGTCTCATGGGGAAACTAGTTTATTGGCATGATATAGTTCATGTGTTTGTTCTACAGTCCAGTGTGGTGATTAGCATCTGGGGTCTTGAGAGCTTACAAGTGGCCATCAAAAGAAAACACAACTGTTGGTCTCTACTTGTCTAAAATCAAAGAGGAAAAAGGAAATCAAGAACTCAGGGAAGAGATATAGGACTAACAGTCGGCACAAACCACACAGCCTCATCTACCCTGAGACCAGAACAATGGTGCCCAGCTACTACTGATAATTTGACTGGACCCTTCAAAAATGGGAGAAAAAATAAAGGGCAGAACTGACATTCTGGCTGGACCTGATAAGACTAATCTCCCTGAAACTAAAAAGTTCTATGGAAAAATGGAATTAAAAGATAAAGGAATTTTTCTACGAACTTTCAGAAGCCCCTTGTATACTTTAAACCTTGAACTGAAATTATCCCTTGAAGTCACCTGTTAGCTAAATAACAGATTGGATCGTAAAATAACTATCACCCATGAGTAATACTCTTCTTTAAAAAAAGGAAGAAAATAAACTGTGGGGAAAAGTTATCGTAAAGCCAATATGAAAACGAGATGGGAGAAACTAGAGAACTGGAAATGGTAAAACCAAGGCAGACTGAACGGAAATAATGGCACATTATGAGAAACGTACCCTGTACCACTGAACACCTGGTGTAGAAAATGCTAAATGGGAACTTCATTTACCCTGTAAACTCTCACCTCAAATACATTTTTTTTCTTTTCCTTCCCCCAACTTCACCCCCGTTAGTATGCGGCTTGCCCTTTAGACAATGATTTACCCTCCTTCCCCGCCACTCCCACCCTGGTAACCATCAAAGAATCTTTCTTTTGGTATGAAAACCTTTTCTTCACTTTTTATAACAGTGGTCTCATATAGTGTTTGTCCCTTTGTGATGGACTTATTTCACTCAGCAAAATGTCATTGGGTTTTATCCAATTATCAATTTTTTTTTTAATTTTTCTTTTTTCTACACTAAAGTAGAAAGCTGCAAAGTAGAAACTCTTACTTGGGAAGGGCTGGTGGTTCCCTGGGGACTTCAGCAGGGTCAGAAACTGCTCCAGAAGGTTCTGCCCCCTCCAGCTCCGCCCCCTGTGTGCCTGGAGTCTGTACCGGCTCCACTTCCACAGGCCCCTCCAAAGGCCCCTCCAACTCCGTAGTGGAATCAACCTCTACTTCCTGAACCGGCGCAGGGACTGGCTCCTTCTCAGTCGTGGCAGCTGCTAGAGTTCTTGCCTTTTCTTCTTCCTTTCTTTTGATTTTCTCTTCAAGGTCCTTTTTCCTCTTTTCATCATCCTGACGAGCCATGTGATCGAAGCTTTTGAACACCTAAAATCAAACAGCAATCAATTATCTGTCTAGTACTGTACCACACATTCTTACAGAACTGTAGCAAAGCCTGGTAAGAATGAAAAAGTGGCAGAGAGGTCCCATGATGACAAGTCCCACCATGACAAAATAGAAATGAACTTCAACGTTGCCAAAAGTTACTTTGAAAATAATCAATAAAATAAAAAACCCACAAGCCATGACTCACAATATTTACACACCTATGTGTGTAAATCCTTTCTAGTTGAAAGAAAGCACAACTAGATGTTTGTAACCATCGTTATCTTTGTGCTGCCTGACAGTCTTGCACACAATACAAAGGAACACACTGCGCTCATGTTGATAGTTGTAGAGGCACCAGGATCGGTGCCTCTGGAGGATAGGCACTGGACTGCTAACTACAAGGTCAGCAGGTCAAACCCTCCAACTGCTCTCAGAAACCCTACACAAGTGTCACTCTGAGTCAAAACCGATCCAACAGCACACAATTAACAACAAAGGCACCAAATAACTCAGGTTCAAAACATGAAGATAAAATTTAGTCAACTTCAATCCACAACCAGTCCACAGAACCAAGTGTATTAGCTAGTGTTGCCATCTCTCCCACAATGTGAGGGCTAAGGAAAGGTATGAGACTTAGAAAACTTAGCAATCTAATTTAAAAAACATCTACTACGTGTCTATATTACGCAAAGAGCAAACACACAAAGTACAGAAAACTGACATCTCATACCCTCTGCTGTTATTGCTAAGTGCCATCGTGTTGGTTCCAACATCGTGTTGGTGACTATGATAAGGTCTCGTCCTTCTAGCTCAGAGACGGCAGGGTTAGCACCATCGCTGCGCCTACAGACCCTCTGTCTGTTGTTGTTAAGTGCTGTGAGTCAGTACGATTCAGGGTTTCCAGGGAGTGGGTGGTGAGTTTCACCCACCGACCTTGCAGTCTAGTGCTTATCCTATAGCGCCACTCCAGGACTGAGCATTCCAAATTCGGGTAAGTGAACCAGAGACTTCATCTTTTCTGGGACACAGTCACTACCGTGGAAATCCTGGGACTTTTCCTCCAACACCAGGAAGTCCCCCCACACACAAACACTCTGATACGAAAACGGCTGTGATGCCTGTCTGATTACAAATAGGGACTGAGCATTTCTGATGAAAGAAACCTAAGGAGCTTCTCGGAAGAAAAGGGATGGCCCTGGAGTGAAAGGTGGAGCTACCTGAGGAAACAATGTGAGGAAACGTGATTCTAAGAAAGCAGGTCAATCCAATCCCAAAACGTTCATCAGTAAGAAACTGCAAGATCTCCAAAGGTAACTGAAGTAATGGCTTCTGTATTTTGCTGTTGTTAAGTGCTGTCAAGTCGGTTCCAGCTCATAGCTACCCTGTATAGGGTTTCTGAGAAGTGACTGGTGAGCTTGAACCGCCAACCTTGCGGTTCAAAACGACCTTGTGGTCCAGCCCATTAACCGGCAGCACCACACCAGGACTCCTGTAAAGGATGAGATATCAGCCTTTACACGTGTGATTTTAAAGGACCAGAATGCAGAAATCCTACATAAATGTTTTGAGCACAGACCTGAAAAAAATGAATGAAAAAAGGTTGTTGTTGTTGTTGCTAAGGGACTCTATACAGGGTTTCCGAAGAGTGGTTTATCGGGTTTGAACTGTTGACCTTACAGTTAGCAGTCCACTGCTTGTGCTCAGAGCAACACCAGGACTTGGTTAGAAGGGCCTAACATGCTACACTACTACCAAATGTTTTTACATTCTCTCAAAGCTCACTCCAAAATCCTGAGAGAGTGACAATGTTGGCATTCAAAGATGAAAAAATAAGACTCACAGAGATGAAGTCAGTGGCCCAAGGCCCTGACTGAGACTAGAAAATAAAACATTACACAAGAAGTGCCAAACAAAGCACATACCAGCAGAGGAAAAGAAATGCAATTCTAAGGCTAAAACCATAGAATTCATACAGGCTTGACCCTAACTCACACGGGTATTATGAACTGGGAGCTTCTGCTCTTTTGCCCCATAGTTGTTTATCTTGACACCCAGATTGTCAACTTAACTCCACAAAGCAAAGCAACAACAACAAAGGAAAGCAACAGGGAGGCCTCCCCCGCAACACCTCTGAGCTACTACTCCAGGCCCTTCAAGGACTGTGCAGGGCCTCTGCCTTGGCCTGCACTTCTAGCCCCCACAACCTACCTACATGTCCTCACCAAAGACGCTCTTTCATGCCTACCAACCTCCCACTCACAACTCTAGACTCCCAAACGAAGCAACTACAAGAGGTTTCTGTGGTCCTCCAATCACGCTCTCAACCAAAAAATGGTGAAGGGGCTTTCCCCGTTTTCCGCCACAGCTGGGTAAAGAGAAGGAGGCTGGCTTCCTCACAATCCTGCCAGGGTTCTGCTAGGCAGCACTTCTCACACTGGCCTCCAGGGCAGGCACAGAGTCAGCTGTAACCAAAGCATGCTACTCAGAACAAGCCTTCCCTTCAAACATACTATTGTGGAGCAGAATGCAATGTCCACAGGTATCTCTGGAAGACAGCCATCCCACTGAGGGTCCTTCAAGCTGTGCACCCAGATCTTAAGGCTTTAGAAACAATCTGGAGTAAAGTTCGACAAGCCTAACACGATATAATAGTCCACTCCCAAAATATAAGGGGAAAGCGTTCAAGTTCCAGAATCAACTTCCAGAAGCCCAACACTCCCATCCAAACCCTCTTTCCCTATGTTCAGAAGATACATCAACATCCCACTTCAAGCAGAGTGACTACAGTTGGGATGTGTGTAACCAGTCCAGGCAGACTGAGACCACCAACTTCTGAAGCCACATTGTGTGGCAGACAACAAAGCCGGAGCCCTACACCAGCCAAGCCCCACACCAGCTGTGTCCTACGACAAGCTCAACTTCCCTCTCCCTCTCCCTCCCCTGGTCACCTGGAGCTAAATCAGCAGGTACTGGCTGACACCCTCCACTTCACACCCCAAACCAAAAACCCACTGTCACTGAGTCAATTCCGACTCCCAGAGACCCAATAGAACAGAGGAGAGAACCGCCTCACAGGAATTCTGAGACTACTACAGTCTTTATGAAAGCAGATGGCGACATCTTTCTCCAGTGCAACAGGGGCTAGGTTCAAACCACCGACCTTTCACTTTACAAACCAGTGCTTAGCTCACTGTGCCATCAGGGCACCTATCACATCAGACCAGGCAGTCCCCTCAGAGTACCCGCCACAGCTCAAAAATCTGTAAGACTCCCTTCACTTTATTCAAACGAGCAGCCTTCCCACTAACCTTTGAGCCGGACAGTTCACAGGAGCGTCTCTGAACTCATCAGAAACAGACTACTCATCACAGATTTTCTGTGGTCAGGAAGGACACACACGGTGAGGTCTGGGTAGCACACATCTCCCACCTGTACATGGTCATGAACCAGCAAGTTCCATCCCAGGCTTGGTGCCCAGGCTGTCCGGCTCTTGGAACCCAGCACAAAGGGCCAAACTGTTTTCTGGAGCTCGCAGCCTTATGCCACCCACTCAGGGTCAGCGAGAACAAGCCCCTGAAAAGCAGACAGGGAAGCATGGGAGGAGGTGGGACAATGTCAGGAGATGACATCAAAGCAGATACCAAGTCACTTGACCGAACTCAGTACTTTAATATCCCATCCACAAGAAAACCCAAAGTGGAAACCATCTTTACAAGCATCCTTTCCAGAGGGGGTGCCATGGGGTTAAAATGCAAAGCCAACCTGTGACTTTGAGGCCTACAACTGCCTTCTCCATATACAGAAGCTGTATAATGAATCAAGAAGATCAAAGAACTGAAGCCTTTGAAACGGAACGTTGTAGAATGACGCCTTCGACTGCCAGAACAGGAGTCCTGGTGTGGCGCTCCTCAGAAACCCTACACAAAGTGGCTATGAGGTGGAACCGATCTGACGGAGCTTAATGACAACCACCAGAAGAACAAACAAATCTGTGTTGGAAGAAGTACAGCCAGAATGTTCTTTAGACAGATGGATGGCGAGACTTCACCTAACCTACTCTGGACACATTATCAGGAGGAACTGCTCCCTAGAGAAGGTTCCCATGCTTAGTAAAGCAACAGAGGACTCCCAGTGAGATGGGCTGCAACCAGGGGCTCAAACACAGCAACACAGCAGCAGCTGTTAGAATGGCACAGAGCTGGGCAGTGTTTCATCCTGTCTATAAAAGGTCAATGAGTCGGGGCCAACTGGATGGCACTTATCCACAATTTAAAAATAAACAGATCCCCAGGCCTCACCCTGCTGTGCTAACCCAAAGTACCCTGGGGCTGTGGGGACTTTTAAACTTCTTCGGAGACTCATGGACACTGCTCAATGGGATCCCCTTGAACTCAGCATCCTGCTCATTCACAACCACACCACACTTCACACCCCTCCACTCACACCTCTCTTAGCATTCCCCAAAGGCTCCGTTCTGCCACATCAACTTCAACCTGCCTAAAACTCAACTCTTCCCTAAACCCAGGTCACTTCAGTTAATGCCTTATCTTCACTCCACCATCCAAGTGTGACACCATGGAGCATTTTTAATCACCAGTCTTCTTCCTTTACCCGTGCTTCCCACCTTTGCCACGTCATTAAACTGACCACCAAGTCTTAACCTGAAGAGTGTCGAGAGCACTCCCAAATGTCTTATATACAGCTGCAGAAGAAATGAGTGTCAGTTCAGCTGTTAAATCAGGACAAAGACCAACCTCTCAGGTTAGGATCAGGGTTAAATACGTGTAACCTCCCAGCATGTCAAACATGTAATGAAATAACTAGTACATGCAAGTGTTCCATATGTCATTTTCAATCACCTGAGACAAAGGTGCTGTCACTAAACTACAGAAAAGTCATGTGACAGAGAAGAAAGAGTTAGAATCATAGACTTGAACTTTTGAGTCCAGCTCTATGATGAACTAGCTCTGAACTTAACTTTGTTATATATATAACTAATACCCTCATCTTTGTTATATATATAACTAATACCCTTTAACTTTGTTATATATATAACTAATACCCTCATCTCCCATCTATCTAGTTTGGAGGGAGAAAGATGAGGCTTTCTACTCCTGTAAAGATTTACAGCCTCGGAAACCCTGTACAGGGTCGCTATGGGTCGGAACCGACTCGACGGCACTTAACAACAACAACAACATCTAGTTTGGAAGGAGCTCTGGTAGCGCAGTGGTTACAAATCGGGCTGCTAACCTCAGGGTCATCAGTTCAAAACTATCAGCTGTTCCGCGGAAGAAAGATGAGGCTTTCTGCTCCCATAAAGATTTACAACCTCAGAAACCCTGTGCAGGATCTCTATGAGTTGGAACCAACACCACGGCACATAACAACAACAACAATCTGGTGTGGCGCTGTGGGTTAATGCGCTAGACTGAAAAGCCATTTGAGCTGCAAGGTCGGCGGTTCAAGCTCACCAGCTGCTCCTCGGAAACCCTATACAGGGTCGCTACGGGTCGGAACTGACTCAACAGCACTTAAAAACAACATCTCACAGGAACACTGTGAAGTTCAAATACCAAGACTTAAATGAAAGCATTAAACTACCATAACTCCTACGAAGAGCCCTGGTGGCACAGTGGGTTATGCGTCGGGCTGCTAACAAAAGTTTAGTGGTTCAAACCCACCAGTCAAGTCTGGGAGCAAGATGCAGCAGTCTGTTTCCAGAAAGACCAACAGCCTCGCACCCCTACAGAGCTGCTCTCCTCTGTCCCCACAGGCTCGCTGGAAGACACAATCGACTCTGCAGCAGGGGATTTTTTTTTAAGGTCCTGCTAAAAACTATTTCCTTCACTGTGAAAATATAGCTCTTCCTTTAAAAACTGGACACAGAAAGAAATACCATAGGATCTAGCAATCCCACTAGTATATAATATATATAGCATATAGAGTATAGATCCTAAAGAAATAAGAAGCCATGAGACAAACAGATATGTGTACATTCTCTGCAGCATTGTATTTTTGGGATTCCAAAGGGACAACCTTGATAGATTTTCTTAAAGGACTCAAAACGATCACAAGGGCTTATGAAAACTGCACTAGGGAGAGAAAGTCCAGAGAAAGTTGCACTGAGGAATTGTTTCCCATAACAATGCACTTATTCATTCTTCGATGATAGCAAGGGTTGTCCTACCACATTTCGGAACCCTTACCCCATTACCCTACAGCCCTGATCTCCCTTCAGACCAGCTTTTTGTTTTTAAAACTCAAATAACATTTGGAAGGAACACATTCCCAGTCTCCTGAGAATGCCAAAAGCACCCTTTAATGTGGTGTAAATCAGAAAGCACAGAATTCTTCCCGGAAGGGTTAGAGATGGAAACACTACTCTCAGAAGGATGAGGAGCTAGGTGGCAGATCAATAGAGAAACAGCAAACCAAGGACTTAATCTTTGTAAATGCCTTTTTACAGCAACACCAACAGAGACTATGCAACGTCGATGTCAACAGATAGAATACACAGGAATCAAACAGACTCCCTCTATAGAAAGAGACCATGGAGAAGCTCAGTACCAGCCCAAAGTACCTGTACAAGTAAAACAAGTTCACAAAAGCCAAAACATGACCTTGCATATGACCCACCTGCATTTAGAGACCATCTCAAGAACAGACGTGATACATCAGACAGTTGTGACCAGAGACCAGAGGAGTTGTGGGATGACATCAAGGACACCATCCATGAAGAAAGCAAAAGGTCATTAAGAAGACAAGGGATGAAAGAAAAGACTAAAATGGAGCCAGTAAAGGCAGCACCATTGGGGAAGGTGGTGGAGGACCAGGCAGCGTTTCATTCCATTGTGATAACAGGGTCACTATGATTCGTGACTGACTTGAAGGCACCTAAAACAAAACCAATACAGATGGTCCCTGGTTTATGAGAGGGGTCAGTCTGATAACTCTGACTGAAGTTGGTTCTAACGTAAGTAAAACGCCTTCTTTTTTCCCCTTTGAAAAAAAGAGAATCAGAAGAGACTCTAAAACTTGCTCTTGAATGTAGACAAGTTAAAGCACCTGGAAGAAATGGTGAAGTAAAAAAGCTGAGCACAAAAATTCAAAGGGCAGCTCAAGAAGATAAAGTATCATAATGAAATGTGTGAGGACCTGAATTAGAAAACCTAAGAGGCAGAACCCAGAAGTACTTCGCAAGCTGAAAGAACAGAAGAAAAATCTGACATCTCAGGTACAACCAAAGCGCTCTTCAGAAGCAAGGATAGTGAGACTTCAACTGGTACTTTAGTCTGGAGGGGCCAGTCCCAGAGAAACACATCATGTTTAGTAAGATGGTGTGTCAAAAAAGAAGATCTCCACTGAGATGGGCGGTCACAGTGGCAGGAATAAGGGGATCAAGCACAACAACTGTGAGGATGGCACAGGAACCAACAGTGTTACATTCTGTTGTGCACACGCACGCATAGGGTCGCTATGAGGCAGAATGGATTCCACTGCACCTGAAAACAGCTTGATTCTGTAGCAATATTTTTTCACTTACCCTAGTTCATCCAAGGTTAGTCCTGGTATAGCACTGTGCGTTAATGCAATGGACTGTAAAGTCAGTTTGCACCACAAGGTTGGCGGTTCAAGCTCACGAGCTGCTCCTTGGAAACCCTGTCAACGTTACTATGAGTCGGAACAGACTCGAAAGCACTTAACAACAAGTACAAGCAAAAGTATACAATCAACTTCACTGAAATCCAACAGCCCCTCATATTATGTTATCTGAAAAGTATAAACATATACCCAAACATACATTCAACGACATATGACGTCATCGTTGTTGTTGTTGAGCGCTGTGGAGTCGGTTCTGACTCGGCGAGACCCTGTATAGGGTTTCCGATTAGCAGCTGGTGTGTTTCAGCCGCCAAACCGTCGAACTTGTGGTTCGCAGTCCAGTGCTTACCCTACAGCGCCACGCCAGGTGCCAATCTAATCATAATACAAAATCTGTGCGACCTGGTAATTCAGGTTTCCTTCCACCTCCAGTCCTGGTCTCCTAGTTCCGGGGCAAGCAGATTACCGTGGATGCCAACTGCCCTTCCTCTCCCCGGACCTCGCATTTGCACCGTCTCCAGCCCGGGAACTGGGGGAGCGGGAGCCCAGACAGCTCGCTGACTGCCTGTGACCCCAGAGTTCTCCCGCGGGAGAGCCTGCTGGCGTCTGGGCTGACTGTCACAGCCCCTCCTGCTGGGGCTACGGAATCCTCGGGGGAAACTGAGGCAGGGGGCCCACTACGTAAAGGGAGAGCCAGAACGGCAGTCAGGGCGCTACCGAGCCGCGGACACGCGTCCGGCGCCGGCCCCGCTCCGCTGTTACCTGCAGCACCAGGGCCTGGGCCGCTCCCGGCGGAAAACCCATGCGGTCGGACGGGTGGCGCAGCAGCCGGTAGAAGTCGGTCTTGCGATAGAGGAAACCGAAAAACACCCGCAGAAAGTCCTGCACGTTGCCTACGTGCTGCAAGATGCCCAGAAGGGCCTGGTCGTACAACTCGGCTGCCCCAGGCTCCATGTCGTCCCGCCGGCCCGGAGGATCGCTCACGCTCGGCGAGGGGACGGAGCCTCCGGGAGCACTTCCGGCGTCTCCCGCTAACGGCTCCGGGGCCCGCACGGCTGCGGAACTTCCGGTCCGCTCCCTCTCCCCTCGCCCGGCTAGCGTGCAGAGTTCCTTCCGCCCCTGCGCGACCTTCCCGCCGGCCGATCCTCGCTAGAAGATCTCGACCTGGGAACCAACGTGGCTCCGAGCGGTAAAAGACCTGCGGCGAGTGTACCGGAGACGTTGAGGGGCCATCATGGAACCGGGCGGAAGAGCTGCGGCTGCGCGTCCGTTCACGTGAGCCCCAACGTCACCTGACCCTCCGGGTTTATCGTTGGTCCGCGGTGAGGGCAAAGCATGTATGTGGAGCCCTGGGGTGGCGCCGCGGCTAGTGCGCTGGACTGGAAGGTCGGCGGTTGAAATCCATAAGCCGCTCCTCTCCGACCTTGAGGTAAGCAGCCCGATTCGTAACCACTACGCTACCAGAGCTCTTTCACCCTAGACCCTATACACTCCTACAAATATGTAGCAAACACGTCAGTGCTTTTATTCAACGAAATTTATTAAGGGAACCAGTAAAATGGTGAAGCTAAGTCAAAGAGCATTTTGAGAAAAAAAACTAGAATAAAATTGCTAGGATTCATACAAGCTAACTAAACCGGTACATCTTTTCTAGTGTGTAAAATGACTTGACTTGCATCTCTATGGGTTCTAACCAATTAAAAAAAAACACACACCACAAAGTCAAAATCAGATAAATTGTTTTAAGACCAGTGGTTCTGAAACTTTGGGGACTTATGGTCAATTGTGGGTGTTAAGTGCGGTAGAGTATGTTCCACTCAAAGTGACCCTGTATAGGGTTTCTGAGGCTTTAAATCTTTTCAGGAGCAGAAAGTCTCATCTTTCTCCGCATGGTGAATGGTGGGCTCAAACAGCTGTGCTTATCAATCCAGTGCTTATCTCATGGAGCCACTGCACTCCCCTAGGGCCTATTTACATTTTTTTAATTTACTGAGCTTTTGTTTACATAGATTATGTTTATCAATATTTACCATATTATAAATTAAGAAGCTCTGGTAGCGTAGTGGTTATGAATCGGGCTGTGAGCCGCAAGGTCAGCAGTTCGAAACTACCAGCGGTTCCACAGGAAAACTATGAGGCGGTCTGCTTCCCTAAAGATTTACAGCCTCGGAAACCCTGTGTAGGGTCGCTATGAGTCAGAACCGACTCCATGGCACTTAACAACAACAACAATAAATTAAGGCAGAATTTTATTTAATATTTGTTCATTTGAATAACAGTAATAAGCACATATTGTTATGAAAAATAAATATGTTTTTCAAGCTAATAAAAGCTTAACAAGAAGAGTGGTATGGTTTTTGCAAGTCTCTTTAGTGTCTGACTTAACAGAAGGCATCAGGATTCTCACATCTCCTTCTGGATGTGTATGTGTTGTTTTGCTTGAAGTTTATGAAGTAAGCCCAGTCTCACATGGAGAGGCAGTTGGAAATGGAGGAAGTGTTTTAATTGTCTTTTCAAAGAAATGTAGATATTGTTTGTTAAAACTATACCAAAACTCTTCTTTGAAGCGATAACAAAACTATACCAAAGACCAAAGGTCTTCAAGGTTAGTTGATGTGTGGACTCTGAAACCTTATCGATAAACTTTTCCTACTCTGCTACATTCGTATCTTTTGGTTATCTTGCACTTTGAATGGATCTTGGATCTTTCATGTGCATGATTTTATAACCTTGTGCATTAGGCATTTTTAAAATGCTTGTTCACCAAGTTATGCAGCTCTTCCAGATGTTTAGTCATTTCATGATACAAGATCAGACAATCATGCTTGTTAACATTACCACTGATAGCATCAGAGAAGCCCTGAATCACTGTCAGGTTCCCCAGACACAGAATACAATTTTTGAAAAGTTTAATTTTCAGTCTGAAAAGTTTAATTTTGTTATTAGCAAGTAATACTTTCAATTGTTTTCTTTTAAGTGGCAGGCTTACTTCATTCTATCATTCCCTGGAGGAAAAACAGTCTTCTTCAGCAGTCAACTCAGTGACACTTTTTCCCAAATGCACCATGGCTGAAACAGATGGCTTCATGTATACCTCTCATTCAGTGCATACAATGTTTCCAAGACATGTTGTCGAACACCAAGATTTAACCAAACTAATCATTTTAACACTTCCTTGATGACATTTTTAAGTGAAACTGACTCTTTCTGATTTTTAACTGTGAGTGTGAAGGAGTCAGTGCCACTGCTTCATGTCCTTCCGAGACTTGTGGCTTTACCCACCATTCATTTTGCACCATCAAAGCAAATATAAAAGGCAAATAACATCCTAACATCCTGCTTTTGACCTTGAAGGCCCCCAAGGCTCCACAGATTACACTTTGAAAACTGCTGCCCTTGGGTAAAGTTATTTTGTAAGGACATGCAGGCAAGAGGAGGGGAGGACTGGGGAATAAAGGTAGGAAGGAGACATACCATGTGTGTGCATTACCTGTTCAAAAAACAAATCAAATCATTTTTAATTGAGTGGACACTGTCAACCCTCCTGGTCAACTTGTGAGTGCAAGAGGAGGAAAATGCAGCAAAGAAGACATGGCCAGAGACTGGCCATAGTCCATCGACACCCGATGACCATGAGACGAGCCAGAGAGGAAGGGCTGGCTGAAGTTTAGGGAGATGTGTGGACTCACAAGCTCAAAGACACTGACTCAGCCACTGGGGGCTAGAGTTAGGAATGAAGCAGCCGTGGTGGGTTTGAACTGCCAACCTTGCAGTTAAAAGCCTTGTGCTTATATACAGCACCATAACAGAAATCTCTCCTTGTCATGTTGTTGTTAAGTGCTGTCGAGTCGATTCCAACTCATAGCAACCTTGTACAGGGTTTCGGAGGAGCAGCTGGTGGGTTTGAACCAATGTTGAGCTTGAACCACTGGTGAGTTTGAAACACTGACCTTGTGGTCCAGTGCTTTATCCCACAGTGCAACACCAGGACTAAAAATGCAGAGGTAGTTTAACTTAAGCTGTGTGTATGGAACATGCACCGCTACGCTTTCAAATAGAAATCTTTTCTATATAGGATATGCTCCCGTTTAGAAAAACCAGTAACCCACTCCATTGTGTTGATTTAAACCCACTCCTATAAAGCTGAGTAGAAGTGCATTTTTCACTCCTAGTGTGGCACCCAGTCCCTCTCTTCCCATGAGTCTAGAATCCTCAGCTGCTCCCTCTCTCCAGGTCCCCATCTCTGCCTCCTTCTCTGGATAGGGTCCCACATTCCACTCGTGCTCTGCTCCCTTAATGGTCCTAAGCAGATTATTTTAAATCATCTGTTTCCTTGTTCCTTGACCCAACTAATTGTTTTTATATTCCAAGTGCCTGGCATGTGGTTTTAATGTTTGTCAAATAAATGAGTAAATTAATTAATTAAAGCTTTGAAAACCTACCCTTCTTCCTTGCTTGGAAGATGAAGCCCTTTCGTGGCGTAGAGTTAAATGTGACTATCAAGCGTTTTCTATAGGATGGTGACGTTTCACAGCTGAATCAAGAAGAAGACCCACTGCAGCTATGGTGGACTGTAACCAGATGCTGGCACAGAGCTCAGCAGCTTGCATGCATCCTGTCTTACAGGGTTTAACTTGAAAGTTATTTTAGCCAACTTTTAACTAATTTCATGATGTTTTAATTTGAGAATAAAAATTTTAATAACAACTTGAAAACACAAAGCAAAACAAAAAAAAGAGTGAAGCATCTGGTTAGTCTGAAGAGGGGGGAGGCGTGCGAGAACTCCCAAACCGCCCATTTGACCTAACTTGGATGGCTTGCCAACCAGAATTAACCAGGTGAAGATGAAGTTTAATGCAGGGAGGAAGTGTAAATTGCTACAACCTGATCGACTGGACCCTTGTTTATGGATGAGGCTCCTCAAAATTCCAACTGAATGGGGAAAAATCCTCCATATTAAGCATAAATCACGTCTTCTCGGTACACTGGGTCAATAGGGACGGGCAACTTAAACTCCAGCTACCAAAATTGGGGGCTATAAAGGCATGAAGTGGCTGGCTTACAAAGTTTCATGAGGGTGCTTAGTGTCAGAATGAGGGGAGTAAGATAGAATCCCCACAGAATAGTTTTCTTCTTCTCCAGATAGGTCTGGTGATGAGGGGAATAGGATTTTATAATTCAGTTTTGAGTAAATGTTACCAGGTTTGATGGCGATTGTCACAATTGTCAATGTAGAAGTGTAACTAAAAGGAGGAGCAGTTAATCTTTTCATTTCAGAAATGAGACCCTAGGACCGTTAAGAAGGAAGAGCAGGAGAGCAGTGAGGAATCTTAACCAGAAAAGCAGGCATAGAGAGACAGAGCAGCAGGGGACTCTAGATCCATGTACTAAAAAAAGCTGTATGCTCCATCACATTCATATCCTCTTTCAAGCCCTTATATCTTTGTGGTTTACTTCCATTCTTCCTACCATACCCATTCTGCCTGTGTATTTGTCCTGCAGACAGGAGGCTGGCTTGAAAATTGTGACCTTTGGACATTTAAACAAATATGTATTTTCAATGTGGTATGTGTACGTCATAAAAAATGCTAATAGAAGTAAATACTGTTGACTAAAGGTGCATGGAGGGGATTGTAATCATGGCAATGATTTGATGAATGTAAAACTAATGATCTGCTCTATAAGCCTTCACTCACTCAATACACAATATAACCTTTTAAAAACTGAGTGTAAAGTTCAACATAGTCTTATAACATGACCCAGCCATCACACTCACGTATGTACTGATTTGAAAATCATGTCCGCACAAAGACCTGCGTGTGTTGACCACAGCAGCTTTACTTATAATCACCAAGAATTAGATGCAACCAACATGTCCTTTACTAGGTAAGTGAATAAGTCAGCTGTGGTACAGCTGCACAATAGAACACTATTCAGGACCAAAAGGAATGAGC